CTGTGGGGACCGATCGTGACACTTGACGGCTCTGATTGACGTCTACTTTATCGGCAATTATTATGTCTGTCGGGAACGGACCTTCTAGATATTCGAGTCAGCGGATGATATTAATTATGCTTGGCTCGAACGTGGATGATCTGGGCAGTTCGGAACTCGGTCGATATTAAATAATCAGCTCAGCGAACCTGCTATATTTATATTTATTTAATACATATATCCACGTGTAATATTTTAATAGGTGAGGCCAAAATTTGATGTCAACGGGTATGTTGACCCCTACCACACAAGATCGCGGGGAGGCGACTGAGGATTACCTGCAGTGGTACAGTCGGGTTTCCCATCCGACTCTCATGGGCGAGGAACTGCCGGACGAGAACGAGGTCCCTACGCGTGTCAATACCGCCTATGTAAGTTGGTTACTAAATTTGAATTAATGTTATTTCATTACAATAATTTTATTTTAATAAATTTCAGTCATATTTTTTTATTCTTTCATTTTTTTAGTGGGTGGACCGTCTTTTGGGCATTAGATCGACCATGCAGCAGTTCTTTGTTGAATGTCCGGAGGCGGCGGAAGTCCAAGAAGATTTTGCTAAGTTTAAGTTGGATTACGACAATGCCCAATAATGATGTAATGAATGTTTTTATTTTTGTCCACTTAATTTTTTTTATTTTTATATAAATAAATAATTCTTCATTTTGTTTTTTATTTGCTAAACTTAAGTTGAATGAGAAGCGTCATACCACAAGTGAATAATATCGTTCTTTTATTCAAGAAGGATTTTTTTGGACAGTAAACCACAATCGCAACTTAGTCTCGTACTGATCCTCCCAACCCACAACCGATTGATCTCGGTTATGGAACCACATGGAATGAATAGGCGGTAATGGACAATCAGGAGTCAAATCTAAACGAATGTAGTGTGCTGCGGCACCAAGATGGCATATGGCCATCTCACGACATGGTCCTCTAGCCGATGATCGTGCACTGAGAGGCAACACTGTGGTGCTGAATAAGTCGTGTTGCCCACCTTGCGGACCAGAGCTCAACAGAACAACAACCGCATTAAATATGGTCGCAACGGCGTAGAGGTCCTGCGGAACTTCGAACCAGTGAACCCGTCCACAAGGGCCGTCGGCCCACCTTATGCGACGAAGTCCGGCGTCGACATCTCTAAAATAGATGTACTCGTACAATTCACGGTGGTTGTCGACCTCCTTCTCAATGCTTTCTCTTGCATCTGCCCAGTACTTCTGGTGACCATACACGTGACTCGCGATGACCCGAAATCCACAGTTACCATCCGCATCCACATTCAGGTAACTCACTATGTAGTCCAACATATGCCAGGGGATTGATTGCCACATTGAAAAAATCCAAATATATTTGTCGGTCTAAACTCTGTAATAAATATCATAATAATTTCACGTCACAATTTATATAATCATATAAATACTTTAATTAACGCTCAGCCATATTTAAAAAAAAAAAATGTATGACCTTCATCCCCTTGTGGCTGTTGAGAAGACAAACTTATCTGTCCACGCGAAGAAGTGGTCGTACGGCTCGATTTTCGACCTCGTGATCTATCGTTGTACTCAAAAGCAGATGGTTTACGCTTAGTTGAATTAGTTTTCTTAGGACGACCTCGCGGGTTATCTTAACCCAGGTTCCGCATAATCCTGTTGGTCTGGGTAAAGATGACTGTACATGAACTGATTCACGTACCGCATCGTCGCGGGATCGCGGGTTTCAACCTCACTCACAAGCGTCTGAAAGAACTCCGCATCTGACCATGCAGCCTGGCTCGCCTGACTCTGATGACCAGTCCCTATAAGTATACGATAAAAAAGTCAATGAATTAAACCAAATAATGTATTTTAATAGAACAGTATAAATAAAACATTAACCTTAAATTATCTGGCTCTAATATCTGGAGCGTTCTCCAGAACTGGTGAATCATTCCGAGATCAATCGGAATGTTGAAATCAATTGCGTTACAGAGCAGACAGGCACAAGGAAGTCCATGAATGAGCTGCAATACAGAGTCGCAGCTAGTGTAAACATCGGCGTCCAAGCCGTGCATCCTCGTAAGCTCAGCGTCCAATAAACTCAGACAGTAATGCGAGACCCTCAGTATCACGCTCGCGAAAAGGATTCTATTATACCGTGTATTCTTCTTAGATCTCGAGGCCTCAAGCGCCGTCCTGATAATACGTTACATAACGTTAGATTATAATTAATTAATGCAGTAATATAATAACACATTTAAAAATTGCAGTACGTTCTTGATTTCAGTCACTTGATTATCGATGTGCTTATTAATCTTCTGCCAAATTGTATCGAGCGCGCTGGTGGACGTCTGAAGCCACTCCTTCAACACAGAGTTGGCACTCTCCACCCTACAGGAAGTTGTGTTTCCAAAATGTGTCACTCGGTTGGTCCAAGCCTTCACAAACTTCTCGCGGTGCCCTAACCATGTGCCCTCCACATACCGTATCACCTCTGGGGACTTCGAATATTTTGCGTACAGCTCGGCAACGGCATCGGTGTAGGCATCGAACGTACTGGCCTCTGCAATCGCCTTCCACGTACTGTGCGTGAAAATCTCCGAGAATTTCTTACTCTTTCCAAATAGTTGGTAGGTTTTGGCTTCCACATCCTTGTTGATGTGCCGCGTGCAGAGTAAGTGGGCTGATTCAGGAAAATGCCTCTGAATAGGAGTGAGTAAACCCAATTCTCTGTCACTGACAACAACATAAGGATATACGTCTTGGCCTATCAGCAGTCTCAACTTCTCTAGAACCTAGTCGTAACTGGCCTCTTTCTCGTCCCTGATGAGCGCATACGCAATTAGGAAGTTCTGGTTGCACGGGGTCATCCCAATCATCTCGACCAACGGCATCTTGTACCTGTGCAAATGAGACCAAGAAGACAAAAAATATAATCAAATAAAAGTTTACTAAATCAAACACACTATTTAAGATTCACACTAATAAAGTATTTATAAAGTAACATACCTGTTGGTTTTATACGTGGAATCTATGCCGACATACCAGTGATATGTCCGGAATAGATTGATCGACGCAGGATGGGCCATGAATATATGCGTCAACGCTTTCGTGTTCGGATCGGATTCTGCATAAACTGTATACTCGCTGCTCACGGCCAAATGCATAAGCTGGGAAGGAACGTCTCTACCGTCGAAACTCTCTTTCCGCAGCTTATCTCTAAAGTTATATACCTGTCACCGATTAACGTTAATTATAATGATTATTATAATTTAAAACAAAAAAGAATATTATATTAATAAATAAAAAAGTATATTAATGCGATTAATTTGATAAAAAAATTATTAATTATCACAATAATAATACATTAGTAAATATAATAAAATTTATTAATTATTACAACAACTTTTACATATAAACAATTAATAATTATAATAATTAACTTCAAAAAGTTAGTTAAAACATATATTACAAGATATAAATATATATATCTGTCGCACATGAACGTTGTCTCCCGGATTCTTTTCCTTCAGCGCGGCCATAATTTTTGCTGGGGCCACCTGAGCGTCCGTCATATCACGAATAATTTTCTTAGATGAAGCGCTGAGGCCGCTCAACTGGCGATGACCCTCAGGATACACAGCAAATGTATGGTTATGGTAGCCCTTCTCTTCATTGCTACATCTACAGATCCTCCAGTATGGAGCATCGGACACCTTTTTTACTTTGATCTCAAAATTGCAACCGCACTTATTCGTTTTTGTCTTTCTAGAATTTCCGCCTGTGCCTCTGTACCGTTCGCCTCTATGGCATTTCAAAAGCCTGACCGTATTCTTTTTGTGGCTCGAAATTATTAATTGGAAACCATTCAGCATTGTCTGTGTTTTGCAGTTTCAATAGCGTCCTGAGCACTATTATATAATGTACAGGTATCGAAACGCAGACTGTAATCAACACCATCTCCTCCAAAATCTTCTCATGACTCCTGCTATATAGTACAATATTTATATTTTTAGAACATGTTAAATTAAGATAATTAATTCTAGCATGTAAACATAATAATTTGTAACTCATAACATGATATTATCTAACGTCCAATTTATAGCATAATGAAGTCTAACATGTAACACAATAATTTGTAACTCCTAACACGATCACGATAATATGTAACGTCCAATTTATAATATAATCAACTATAACACGATAATAATTTGTTACTCCTAACACGATACTATCTAACGTCCGTCAATTTATAACATAACCAAGACTAACATGTAATATAATAATTTCTAACTCGTAACACGATAATATCTAACGTCCAATTTATATTATAATCAACATGTAACATAATAATTTGTAACTCCTAACACGATAAACGTCCAATTTATAGCATAATCAAGTCTAAAATGTAACATAATAATTTATAACATAATAATATAGTCCAATTTATAACATAATTATTTCGAATATATAACATAATAATTTAAAAAAAAAAATAAAAAAAAATTGTTCGGCCGGCCGAACCGGACGGACCGATTCCGACCGGCCGTCGTTTTCGGACGGCTTTTAAGCTGTCCGGCCGGCCGATTCGAACAGGGCCCGTCCGAACCGGATGGCCGGACGGCTTAAAAAATGTCCGGTTCCGGCGGCCGGACGGGCTAAAAGCCGTCTGATTCCGGCGGCCGGACACAAAATTTTTCGTACCTCCGAATTTGACGACATTTCACCGTGCACTTTCCTCTGAGATGTTTAGAAAAAATGAAAAGGGCAAAATCGTCCAAGGGAAGCGGTGACTAGTAAAATGAGAGCGGTAAATAGTACCACCCTTAAATTTTTGAATTAGAAACGAAATAGGATGAAATGAATTTGAAACTTGAATTGAAGGTGGAGAAAAACAAATGGACAGAATAATATAATAGAAATAGAAATCAGCCTCTGTTGGATAGATAAAAAGATATCCAATACAATCATTTCCATGGCAAGGGATGCAGATGAAGTCGAGCAACGAGAGCATGAGGGAAAGGATGTACTTCCCTTTTTATAAAGGGGGGAGAGAGAGAGGGAGAATTAAAATCGGAAGAGTAAAATTAACTGTAACAAATCCGGGCGCGGAGGGCGAATCGGCATTCCACAAACACCCGCAGAAAAGTCATAACAGATCCAGCAGGTAAAACAATCTTTCCAGACATTGTACAACAACAAAAAAAGCTCCAAATCCAGAATCATGCACAGTAATAATACATACAGTCTAGAAAGAAAACAATGTATCCATCCCTCTCCCTACTAAGAAAAAAAAAAAAGTCCTAAGTAAACAAAAGACAAACTAATTAAAAATCACTCCTAGATAGGAACCTCCATCTTCACAACCGACAGCTGTTGGCCCACTGCCTGTGTCTGTAGCCAATCCTTGGCGCATATAACAGCCTCCACAGTCTCTGGCCGCAAGCTGCACCTATAGCTATCCATCTCCTTCCTCACTGTATCAAAAACCGAGCCCGAAGGCACCGTGCAAACCGGTATAGACAAGATGTCCCGAGCCATTTTAGACAAGGTAGGGTACTTAATCCGGTTCAGCTTCCACCACCCAACCACATCAAACTCGTGCACACGTGGCAGTAGCGACTCCTCCAAGTACTGGTCCAGCTCCGACTTCGCCAGCTGGCTCGTGGTCTCCATGATATAGGCATCGAAATCAGTAAGCCCGAGCCCATTGCTCGAAGTCGGGTCCTCAGACTTCACCGAGCCCGAGCCCGAACCTAGGCCCTCGAGCCCATTTGCTTCCTTCGGGTTCAGAGGTATCGCAAGAGCCACGTACTCGAGGAAAAGCTCGTGTATCCCATCGTCCACGACCTTCACGAACGAGGCCGAATCCTCTCCGTATATCTTCGAGAAGCTGAACTCGACCAGCTTCATCTTGAAACGCGGGTCCATCACGACTGCTATTGCCAGTGTAAAGCACGCGCTCTTCCAGTACTTGTCGAAATTCTCCTGCATCAGCTTCGTGAGTCGGCTGACGAACGGGTCCTCGCTGGCGGCCGCGCGTGCCAGCTCGAGCTGAATCTTCCACGCCTCGTGAAAAAACGTGTTCGTCGTGGGATTTGATGCCGTCAGGAGAAGATTAGCAGTCTCGAACAAAGGTTTCAAGAAATTGCAAAGAGTCTCGACTTTCTTCCAGTCCTCGCTAGTGGGAGCATCTTTGTAGTCGGGATCGGACGCACCCAAGCAGGAGAACACATCCTTCAGCTCACACGCAGCCACGAGCATTTCATAAGTCGTGTTCCAACGAGTCTGGTCATCGATCGACAAAGCTTTAGAGCTGCCCACCTGAAGCTGCTGCTTCAGCTCCACGAACCTCTCCTCCCACGTCTTCACGTACTTCACGCTGTCCCTCACTTTCTTCACAATCCCACGCTCGGAATCAAAAACCGCGTGGACAATCGCGCTCAAGGAGCGAGCCAAACAGTTGCCGACCAAAAGCTGCCCGTCGAGCACGAGCGGATTCTTAACAGAAAGCAGAGCCCTTATATTGTCGATAGCAGCATCACTCAAAGACTGGTTTACAGTCACGGAGAATAATTTCCCATCCATGCCCCAATCAGAAAGGCACGCGGCCACCGAGTGGCTGAAGGCGGTGTCGGAATCCGGGTAAGGCTCCATGATCACGTTCAGAAGCTTCCGGTGAATCTTCCAGTCAGTATCGATGAACTGACCAGTTATGAAGACGTAGCCTGTGGTATTGGCCGAGGACCAGAGGTCGAGAGTGAGGCAGACTCTGCCAGGCATGCCCTCGATCACTTTGAGAATGCTCTGCTTCTCCTTGAGATAAGTCGCGACACAGTCTCCTTGTACAGTGTTGAAGCTAACTATGTCGAAACGAGGCTGGAGGTTCTGAGCAAAGGCGACGAATCCCGGGTGCTCGACAATGTGGAGCGGGTAATCGTGCATTATAATCATTTTCGCAATCTCGTGCCGGCAACGGTCAGCGTCGAAGGGGATGTACGGGACGCCAGCTGTCCGATAGCGTCTTTGCTTGGGCGGGTCGGAAGAGAAGACGGTGGGGCCCATTTTGGAAGGGGCGCTGTATGGTGTGTGTTGTGTGTCCTTGTTGTCGTGATTGCGGAGGACAGTGGGGCAAGAGCCCTTGGCTATGTGGCGCTTGAGGTGGCTAGTGCCAGCTACTTTGTTGCCAGTGCTGTACGCGAACGACTGCTTGCACTGCTTGCAGCAGGCTCTTCGGCTGCCGGAACCGACTGTTTCGATGGTGAAGTGTTCCCAGACGACGGATTTCTTTTTGCGGCGTTTGGTGGGGGGCTGCTGCTCGACGTTGTTTTGGGGAACGATTTCGATGAGGTGGTTGTGCTGAATTGGATGGTCCAAGATTTGGGTCTCGAGTTGCATTTCCGAGTCTAAGATTTGGGTCTCCTCCATGGGTTGAGCCTGCTCCACGGCCACGAGTTCGTTATTCATGATGGGCTCGGGGTTCTCGTTGTCCATCTCCGGAGAATGCTGAATTCTTCTTGATTATATGTTGCTGCATAGATTGAACAAGAGTTCGAGTGTCAAGACCCAAAAGCAAGAAATTTCTGAAAGTTAACTGAGAAGATCAATTGAGCATGGTAATGGACTGTGCATGATAACAATCAACACCAAGTGCGACAAGCCCACAAATGAAAGCGCGGCATAATTTGGATAAGTGGAATATACTACTAAACTGAGATATTATTAATCTCAACAGTCAACACAAACAATTAGAATAAATAAGTATTGCTTCCAGTGAACAACTGGATTAGTTAATATATATAGGTTTCGTACCCACCATTCTTTCAGACAATAGTATTACTCAAGACGGAGAGCAAAAAATTGGAATTGGAATTTGCACCAATAGCACTCAGCCTATTTCAGAATTTCATGCCTTCACAAATAAGAACTTTCCCACGTTGGTGTTATCAAACTCATTTTTCAGTCTTAGGGAAATCCACATCGTGAGAAGTTATGGAAGTAGACTGTTTTTATTGATGGATTGATTTTAATAATTTCCATTATGCCTCGATATAAAATCATTAAGTAGCTTTTGCCTCCTTTCTTCAAAGCTTTTGAATACAGATGGAGATTTCCATTATATGCCCCTTTCATTGAAAACATGTACCACTTACAATATCAAACACAAAATAGATTTTCATGGAAAACATTAGGACAAGGAATCTCGATTTCCTTAATAATCGGTAACAAAAACAGGTTGCAAACACAACCAACAAAATCTAAGAGATTGAACAAGAAATTATATCATTCAAAGAAAGTATCACTCCAAAAAGGATGCAATGTGTGGAGCACGAAGTTGCATATCAGAACAGAACCAAAAATTTGCTTCCCACATTTATGGAGATAACGGAACGATATAGTTCCTTGGATGTGGTTGCAATTCTAACCAAAGAATAAATAGAAGACAATATTGAACGATAAAGGCCCGAAGGGAGGGCCCAGGACCCCAGAAGCCTGAATTATTGCCTTCTCCATCAAGAACCTTTATCGAATTCTTAATTTTTATTTTAAGGGATAATTAAGGAGACCTCAAAGGTTTCAGCTGTATCTAAGAGCTAATTACAACACATCTATTGACTTGAAGAACTAGGGGTGGAAGTAGGGTTGTTATCGAACCGGGCTATTCGTGGACAAAGCTCGTTCGTGTTCGATAACAGCTTGTTCGTTTAGCAATCGAACCGAACTTTAGTTATCGAACGAACACGAACAAGTTCGGGAAATAATCGAGCGTTCGCGAACAAAAAAATTATTTTATAATATTATATATTATATATAGTATACATGTATAATATAATATATAAATATGAATATATATAAATAAAAATATTTTATAATTTTATATATTATATATAGTATATACATATATAATATAATATATATTATATATAAATATGAATATATATTAAATAATAAATAAAATAACTTGTATGACATTAAAAAAAAAAGTTAACAAATACGAACACAAACATGTCGAACAATTCGAACACGAACTTGTCGAACAATTCACGAAAAAGTTCAACTAGATAAACAAACGAAAACGAAAACGAACGTGTCGAACCAATAAACGAACGAACACGAACGAAATTTTTTATTCGTTTACTAGACGAACGAACACGAGCATGTTCAAAATAGTCGAACTCGAGCTCGAAAACCTTAAGCTCGGTTCAGTTCGATTCGATAACAGCCCTAGGTAGAAGGCATAGGCCTTAGGTTTTATTTCTCATAACATTTTACCCTGCATAAAAATAAACAATTCAAAAGCGCCCAAATATTAATTTAGGCCCTGATTGGACCAGATAAATATAATTAAATAATAATTAAATAATGTCAACCAATCATCCTCACACATCACTTCCAAATAGCCCTTTCATTCTTTAGTAAATATCTCAAATTTCATGGGCCATTTTGCAATTAACATATTTTTCATTAAGTTGTCCTTCCACCTGGTCCACTCAGCCAACCAAGCCAAATGATATAAGATCTCAATATACCATCTTATATACAGTAAAACCATTCCAAAGTACAAACAGTAAACTTTAACCCTATCACATAAGAATACTCATTTCCAAGAGTCAAAAGGACAGAATTTCACCTATAACGCACATCTAAAACGAAACAAAAAAAAGCCCATATACAGAGAACTCCAAACCAAACCAGATCTAACGAAATTAACCATGGGCTTCATTATTTTGCACCAAGCCAATACCCACCCAGACACAATATTCTTGAACAGGCTCTTAAACCGACAAAATTAACGTATTTATTTAAATGAACATCAGCGTAAAAAGATAGATTCATAATAGATCTTGAACTTCAAGTTTATTACGGCTACAAAAGAGACACAGACCAACAAAACGCGCCAGAAAACTTTTAAAAGATATAGATATACTTCATCATGAAAAGATCGATTCAAGCCAGAAAAAAGAGATCTGTTCAACCTGCATAAAATTAGCTTCCGCCTACGAGTTTCCAGAATATATACAGAAGAAAAATAACGAACACACAAATGCCAAATTCACCAACTAATACGAAAAATATTCCAGCTAACCAAAACTTAATCAGAAAATAATTATTTTTTTTTTAAAAAAGAAAAAAGAAACGATGATTGAACTCTCGAAAGATCCCGTAACAAATTTCAACATAATCGTAACAGTGAAGAAGAAATTTACCCAGCTAAATCCTGAAATAAATTGTAAGGCGATCTCCGGCGACTTCCGGCGATTTACAGCTCCCAGATCTAGGGTTTGGAGGAGAGAGAAAGTAGAATTGGGCTTCACAATTGGACCTATTTTTATTGGGGTTGGTTTTTGTGATAAGGTTTATTATAATTGTTGGGGTAAGAGAAAAAGGGTAGCATAAGAATTAAAGCGAATTGGATATGGACTTTGAGGTCCATCTACACCTGACGTGCCGTTTTAGTGTGTGTATTAGTGTGTGCCTTTTTTCAAAGGTCTTATTACTATATAGTCATATTTACCATTTTCTTCATTGTTTCGATGTGACCATCCAGCCCACCTCTAGTGTGTGTAGCCCACTCACCAAAACATTATGTTATTTTTCTCATTATGTTATTTTTCTTTGGGGGGCCTACAATTAGGGAACGAGCAGCAATTGGGTGATTTTTTTGAAAAAAAAAAAAAAATAGCCCACGCTGTAGGCGCAACTTTTAATGTCAAGAAATAGGAGATGTAGAGAGAGAGATGGCATCTTGTTAAAGAATTGGTCCAAGGCCTATGTTTGGCAAAGGTTTTAGTTTTGGTTTGCTTTGATTTTCATTGTCTTGCATTCTTGGTTTGGTTTCAACTATATTGTCTCTACAAGATTGGTTTTGTTTAGTCATACACAATTGTTCCTTTCACACATATTATCACAAGCTATAAATTATCACACATATAAATAACATTAATCATGATTTTACTCAATTTTTTTCAAAATCGGATTAGACCGGACAGTTTGACCCGATGGGTCGGGAATCGTTTTATCAATCAGTCCGATTCGTTTTAATAAAATGTTTGCTAGCAAACCGCTCAACACCAATCGGTTGGAGTGTTAATATCGGTACGATTTTTTAAATCAATTTTGTTACATTTAAAATTATTTTGAATATAAATAAAAATACATATTTAAATAACATAGAGATTTATAAATTATTTATCATTTATTTAAACATTGAAAATTTTAAATTGTTCAGATATTTAATTTGTATTTTTATTAAATTTATTACACAAATTACTATAAATATATATATATATATATATATGTATATATGAAATTATACTAAATTAATTATAGTGAAACCAACAAATCATTGAATAAATAACTTGAACGGTTTGAAAACGATCCCCTATGAGAACCTTCGAATTACCTTACATTAATAAAATTGTAATGTAATATCGTATTGTTCACATAAACTTTAATAAAATAATATCTAAATGGTCATAAATTGTTGAATATATTGTCATAAAAGCATTTACTATTTGGAGTATGAACTATATTACATTTATTGTAATAAAGTATTTTTAATATTAAATTTATATTTAGTTCAATCATCGATTTGGTCTGCCAAATTTATCTATAATTTGTTCACTCGAGATCAATCTCAGCTGTGTCATGTTTTTTGACTATTTTAAATATCAATTAAAATAATTCGATCAACTTGAACATTAACCTAACTCAATCACCGGATTGTTTCCATGGTTTTTTTTTCCTTAAATACATTTAATATTATGAAATAAAAAAAATTATAATTTATGTCGTAGATGTTTATAACAAATGACAATATAATAAGATTATAAATTATATATCTAAAGATAACTTAATTATTTTTTAGTTTATGCATATTTATAAGAAAATAAACATAATCAATTGATTATGCAATTGTCGCAAAAACCCGATAACATGAGTTACTACATAGCAGAGATGTTTTGCATATCAATTATTATGTTTGTAAACATAATATTTTTACGCTTATATTATATCACAATTTTCATTGTGAAAAAATAACATTTACCATTACTTAACTCTTAATTAATTTATTTTCTACCATTAATTTATTTTTCTAATGAAAAAAGGAGAAACACACCCTCTTAAACATCATAATGATTTTACTAGTACATAACCCGTGCGATGCACGAGATGTAAAATTTGAAAGAATAATATAACCTCACGTGCATTAGGATCGAAATTGAAATCATTAAAATACATAGGAACATTGTTGAATCATAAAAAGTTCGGTAACAATCATATATTATTAAAAACCTCCTTGTACACAACATTATGAGTTTGATTATTTGGTATCTCCTCATTATCACAAACTAATATTTTCAAAAGAGATAAATCCTAAAAATCAAACTAATATTTTTGGTGAACAA